TTTCACGAACTTAGTTTATTTTTACGTTGAATTTCCTTTTTTGGGTTTGTATCACTCGCACAAATAAGTAAATCCCCAAAAAAAGGTCTAATAAACAAAATTAGCCCATATGAAATTAGTAAATCCTAAAGTTTTAGGTCGCTACACAATTTTATTTAGTATGTACTTTTAAAAAGTCATTTTTTAAATCCTAATAAAAAAATTAACTAAATAAAATTTATTCAAACAAAAGGAAAGATAATATAAAATCAAAAGATTATAAACCATGTTATTATTTCCTTAAATCACAAAACAGTATACTTCCAAATAAATAATAATTGATTCTAGACTGGACAGGTCACATTTGCTATCTTTATAAAGACTAATTGTCCATTGACTAAATGGTGTTGGGGCAAAAGAATAATTTTTATCCTCTAATTTATAATAGATGTTATCGAAAACTATTTTGTATTTTTCGCTTATATCACATTCGGCAGAATGATCTTTATTTACTTTGTATTCAAATCCTTCTCTTTTGGGATCTGATTTAAAATAATATTTATTATTATTTTTATCTCTGTCAGCAAATGTATCAGAATGACTAATATAAAGACCGATTGATTCGTTTATGGAACCAACTCCGTTTAAGTATATCCTAAATGCATGAAGCCTTAGGCGAGCGTAGTTTTTTAATTCATCACAATCCAACGGAATGTCAATTATTACTGAACTATTTTGCTTAAATTTATCAATATATGTTTCTTTAAATTCAAAAGTATTCTCTTTTATCCGAGGTCTATCATTAAAGGCATTATCGAGATCTTCAAACATTTTATTGATAACTGATTCATTGAATTCTTTAATAACTGAAAGCTCTAATTTGGATTCGGATAGAGTCCAATATTTATAAGCGGAACGATACTTTTCCATGAATAATGTCATACAATATTTGATATCGATAAGGTGTTCGAATAGTAGAAGTATAATTTCGTCATCTTGAGAATCATTTTCTAACTGAATCCTTTGCTCAAGTCGTTCTTCTATTTTTTTGCACGTCTCTACTTGCAAATCAATCCCTGAAAGTTCTTTAGACCTTTCGCTTTCTTCGATTTTTGCTTCAATGTGAGCATCAATTAAGTTAATAAAATCTATTAAAGACTTCAAATATTCGTCTGCACCTTTAATATTTTGCTCGAACGACTAACAAAATTGAATTTACAATCAATAATTTTTAGTTGAAGTACATAAAAGGGACAAAAGGTAAAATGCGCATAAATACTTTTATGATTTCACGCAGTTCATCAATGCTCTTTACGTAGCATGATTCCTTTTGGATCTTTAGTTTCAAGGCTGATAGAAAATAACAGTTTATTAATTTATGTCTAACAGTCTAGCATATCTAAATGGTGCGAATTACCTTTCTGAAATATTTTTATTATTAAATTCTTCAAATTTTTTACTCATTTCCACCGCGGATTTGTTTAGTTCACCAGCCATATCGTGATTACTTTTTAACTTATTTGTAATTTCTTTGATTTTATCGGCTTTGTTATTTATATCATTAGCTTGTTCCAGTTCTTTTTTTACTTCATCATCATTAGTTATCTTGAATAACGCTTTAATGTTTTCTATATTAATATGTTCAATGACATCTTGAACTGATTTGGATACTTTTTTTACAGTATCAACAAAATTGAGTACACCTCCAGGCTGAATAACAACTTTACCAACACTAACAGATAAATCAAGAATAGCGAGGAATAACTCTTTTTGTGCAGCATGTTTTCGTTCTTTAAGCCAATTATCAATTCCTTCTTTAAACTCCTCGAGTGCATTTTCTGTATGATTTTTTGTTTCCTTTTTTTTAAAAAAAAAAAATTAGTTTCCTTTTCGAATTATTTATATAAATAATGTAGTACATACCTGAAGTTTAGTTTCGGTTTCTTTCGTTAAATTATGAGCCAATTCAAATTGCCTACTTTCCTTTTCTTTTAGAATTTCATGCATTTTTGTTATATCATTATGGTCCAGTAACTTATAATTTAACTTCTTTATTTTTTGCTTATTATTATACTCATGTTTTAGTACATTTTTATATTCATTTTCATAATCTTTTGCAAATTTCAACAACTGACAAATATGATTTTTGTAATTTTCCATATTAAGTCGTGGAACAAAAGTAAATTCACTTTTCTCTCTTTCAATGAAGGCATTAAGATGGTCAAGCATTCTTAATGCACGATAGTATAGTTTTTTTGTCATTTCAAATTCTTTTTCCTCGTTATCTTTCAATTGTTCATTTATTTTAATAATCCATGTGAGAATTGAACGTGTAACTTTGCGATTATCATAAAATAGAGCGATTGCAATTTGTAGAGAAAATCGTAGTATTTTAGAGAATGGCTTTTTTTGAAGAATTATACTAGCGAAATCAGGTATATCTTTAAATTCATCACTATGTAAAGAAATCAATCCACCAATGTTTGGACTATTAATTTTAAATGTTAGTGGATTCTTATCTTCGTTTTTAATAATAAGTTCTGATGGCATCTCCATAGTATATATTAATAATTGAAAATTATTCTCTTCCTTATATTTAATAGAAATTTGACAGCCATGTTTAATTTCAAATAACCTTGCAACTATTAAAATAATGCCATGACTCCCCAACATTTGAATTTCTAGATTATCCGAAAGTTGAACTACATCACCATAAATACGAATAACTTGTGCATTAATTTCATTCTTAGGATATTTAAACAATTCATTAAGATCAATGACCAAATCACTTTCAAAGATCTATTTAAGTAAAAAAATTTAAACTTTAACTCATCAGATAAAGGACTGCATAAATATATATATTTACAACACCTGTACATCTGTCTGTAGTTCTGTTTGTAACGGTGATGGTTCTGGATCGAATCTTATATTAAAATGAGCTAGTACATCCTCATATAATTTTTTCCAAGAACCAATATTTTTATTTGATTCTAATTCGAATTTTTTAGACATTTTTGCCTTTTAGGTGTTCAAAAAAATTTTAATACGACAATCAATTATATGTATATGTGTATATGCATAAATAGTGCACATACATATATATATATATATATATATATATGTTGTAGGTGGATTCGGAATTCTATAGATTCCGAATCCACTTAAGTAGATACCGAATCCACTTAATTTG